GTTTGTTCTCAAAGCTATTAGAGTTTTGGTTATGAGTGTTGTTATATCGTTTTAATGTATATGCTTTTCATCCATCATATATCTTCATAAAGAGAAATGCAATTAAGTACAATTGTTGTAATAGCTAAGAAGCGAATGATGACAAATGACTGACCTGTTTACAAATGTACTTTCTTCCGCATTGCTTCTTTAATTGTCATGTCTAGTCAGGTAATTATCACATTTTTCAATATGCACTTAATGCATGCCATTCTAAATGAAAATATATAACTACCATATTATCACTGTTACGCAAGTAGTTTTTAGACCGGCCTTATCATTTATATTTCACCTTTATAGTATTGTTATATATATATATATATATATATATATATATATATATATATATATATAAATTCCTCAGAGTATCTTTATCTAGTGGCAAGATATTAACATTTTGATTTCTAGGGCATCCTAACTTTAAGCTGAAAAATGATGTAGACAAAGTGTCTACCTTTGATTTTCAGATATTGCTAACTTCCCTTTATATCATTATCACAAAAAGCTATGACATAAATATATCCCTATCAAATCTCTCTCTATATATATATGTGTGTGTGTGTGTGTGTGTGTGTGTGTGTGTGTGTGTGTGTGTGTGTGTGTGTGTGTGTGTGTGTGTGTGTGTGTGTATGTGTATGTGTATGTGTATATGTGTGTGTATCAACAAAAGGGTAGCAAAGCACCCTATACCCACGGGAATAATGTTCGCAACTGGTGGCAGCGGTGAGAGCGATTCCGTCCTCGCCCAGGTGGTGGTTGGACAAGAAACACAAGTTGGTTGAGCCGGAGTTATCTTCCCCGCAGACGTTGTATTCGTCGTCCCCGCATGCAGTGCAGAAGTCAAAGCTCTGACAGGTCATGTCACTTTCTGAGGAATGAGGGTGCAAGTGATGATAAGAATAGACAAGGTAATGATGATGATGAATATAAAGGTAATATTTAATGGTACAGGTAATGAAAATGATGACAATAATAATGATAATGATAGTGATTATAGTGGTCATCATGATAGCAGTAATGATAATGGCAACAATATTAAACATAATGGTGATGATAATGACAAAAATAATAATGCTAATGATAACATATAGTGATAATAATAATGATAATATTTACATTGATAAAAATACTAATCATGAATTATCATTACATTACAATTATCATTATTATCATCATTACTTTCATCATCATTATAAGATAATAACAGCAAGACCAACAGCATATAAGAATGACATAATCGTAAGATTTCATTTTAAAAGTTTTTACTTTAGAACATTGGTTTATTTTTTACAACATATTTTTTTTTCATACATCATACTTTTATTTATCAATCTATTTATTATTTCATTTATTTATTTATCTTTGTTATCAATGGTTAACATTCGCAATAGACTACGGACCTTCGACACAAAGTTTGGCGCAGCTCGAAACGTCTGTCTTGAAGGCAACCAGTCTGTGTTTGTCGTTGGCCAGTCCTTGATGAGGATACCGTGAAAACATCTGATCGTTTCGCTCTGCAGGTTCAAAAAGTCATGTTCAAAAATAGGTAGATACAGATATGTATATAAGGATTCACTATTTTAAATAATCTCCTCCATCTTCTTAAGTCTTTAAATTGTATATATTGTACAGTCCTCTATACTTCTATAAGTTCATCATGCATGCTTACGAAGTGTAAAGTACCAGTTTATATTTGAAACACATGTCCATGCGATGCGAAGGTATGTGCTCTGACTCATGTATCCAAAAAGACATACTAATACTTATACCTTCCTCTCGTGTGGTCATCTGTTTCGAATCCTGTAGCTGATACGTACCTATGCTTAGAAGGGGGTATGTTTTTTTTTGACTTTTGTATCCGAGAAAAACATTAGAAAGTATGTTTACACTCACATACTCACAACACATGCCCATACGTGTAGGGGGCGTGTGTTTCAGACACAAGAGTCGGGTAGTCCATGCCCTAACAACGCAAAATGGTGAACTTGGAAATAGAGGAGACTAATACGCAGTTTACAGGGTTTGAGCTTTCGGAGTAAAAGTCTACGACGGTGCGCGCCCGATTTCACTTACTGGAGAAGTGGATGCACGAAGTATCAACGCCGTAATTGCCTCCGTTAACCACGTCCAGGAAATGCTCTTGATGTAGATGACACAGGCGCTGATCGTGACACCACTCGAAACTCTGGCACGTGATGCTCGTTTCTAGTGAGCAATATCTGAAGAGAGAATAGGCTTTGAAAATTGTCTTACTTACATCAGTTTTTTTTCACCAATGCATGTATTTGGTAGACTTACCACTACCTAGCTCTCTCCACCACCACCTCTATCACCACCACCACTTCTTTTTCTTCTCCTCCTCCTCTTCCTCCTCCTCCTCCTCCCTCTTCTTCTTCAGTGGAATTAAAGTTTTGATTTTTGTATTTACAAAATTATTAAAAGGGTTGTTTCTCTCAAGACA